AAATTTAGAAATCCTTCACTTAAGATGTACATTTTGATAACGAGATGACGTGGTTCGGTCAACACACTAATGCAGTCAATTGAGAACTTAGCAAAAATGACTGATTTCCTGTGGACGTATCTTAAATATCTTTGAAATCAGAAACTGAGACTTTGGAGAGAATCATCTGAATCACACGGTTCAATCAAATTACCAAATCTTCCCATCCTTCCAATAAATAAATCACGCTATCTCTGAAAGTGGGTAGAATCCCTCAAGATCACATAAAGTTTTGTGATAGTAGAGAACCTCTCTTATTCGCTTCTATTAAGAAACCGTTATGTTACGGGCAAGAATGAGGGTAATTGTAACTTAAATGTGGAGCTCGTAATATTCCTACAATAGTGTAGCTGATTTCAAATCTACTTTCTGAATCTGCAGAACTCTAATTACGAGTGATGAAGGGAGAAAGCCATGTTTTGAACTAATGTGCCTTTAAAAATTATGTCTTTACATTTCTGAGTGATTTAATAGTGCTGAAAGGATCTCGAAGTTATAGAGGTAATAGCTCTACAATACAATATGTTCATTCATTATCGAGGTTTTATGAGACTGGTGTTATGAACGAATTGCATATTTCTGATTATATTCCAAGATTATCCTATTTATACCGAAAATGATCTTATCCCAAAATTTCTTGCAGATAGCATAAGTCCGAAAAAAATAGCTCGCTAAAACGCTAACGAAAGAAAATAGCGCAAGTTATCGCTATTGTAGGGGAAGTTATCTCTACAAACTTTCGCCATACGAAAAAAATAGTGAGCTTTCGCGCAATCGAAAACAGCATCTCCGCTAGCAGCGCATTAGTGAATAGAACGGTACTGGCCACCACTGTTGTTGCGACTATCAATGTTACCTTATGATGTAAATAATTTCATCAATTCAAGGTGCCACCTGAAGCACCGAGTCATGCCGAAGACTGGCAACAAATTTTCGCAGATCTCGAAGAGGTGGTTATAAATGGCAACACGCATTGGCATCATCCAAATTTTTTCGCATATTTTCCAACCGCGTGTTCATATCAGGCGATAATGGCCGACATTCTTAGTGGAGGTTTGGCCAGTATAGGATTCACTTGGGTATGACTTAAATTATTTTCAACTGTTATTCTGTCTTTCATTCAATTGTTGCAAGACTGATGAGCCAAATGAATGCTGGTTGGTGAGCTGTTAAGATGAGTTTGAATGAGACGGGAAAAAATCCACAAGCTTTTAGTCATTGGTCAGGTTCTTACTCAAGAACGGGTGGAATAGAGAGAATTCCTTCATTGAAAAACTCAAGATTACGTTCAGTACGCGTGCTTATGCACACTGTTTTCCCCTCCCTCCCAAATGACAATCCTATATTTAGACCTGGCTATTATGTCAGTTGAGCGGTAAATTCGAACGCAATATGTGCTTTCATGCAGTCTACCGACGACCGTATTGTGGATCAGATATTAAGCGTTTGATAGGCTACATAAGACAATGAGTCTAAGTTCGACATTGCACTTATGAAAACATTGCAAAATTATGCACTGTTAGTTTTCGGCAAAGTTGATAGGAAAAAATAGGCGAAATTTCGCAATTATTATCGCAACTTAGCGCTATTCATTTTGCACTCTACATTCTCAACCTTGTAACGACCAAGTTGCAGTTCAACAAATACTTGGAATCGAACAGCTACCCTTTATGCTCTTCGGATCCTTAACGGCGATATGCATACCAGTAAAGCACTAACCCATCGCATCAACCTCTGAAATTTACTTTCTATATCAGTATCACCTCACCTTTGCATGCCAACTTTTCGCCAGTTATGCTACAATAGGTAATTGCTCAAAGCGGAAGAGGGACCAGAGCATAACCGCAATTGTTCTGCAAAAACGTTCATCCCAGAATCTGGTAGACCAAGCATTCGCTGAGAATGCACAGAGGAATAAGGCGTTATAAAAGAGACAAACTTAGAATCAATTTCTGACTTTTATTCGCAACATCACATCAATATTTATTTGAAGAATAATAATTATACGAACAGAAATCGTCCCCGTCGATGACCGAACTGGAACTTCGGATGACCGATTGGTTGGCTAAAGCTTTTGGATTGCCTGCAGATTTCTTGAATGACCACAATGGTCCAGGAGCTGGTATCATTCAAAGCACTGCAAGTGATGCCACTTTTGTCGCGATACTCGCAGCTAGAGGGCGTATGGTTGAGGTAATTAGTTGATGACTTCGATCGACTACTTATAAATTTGTAGATCATAATATTCCAAATATATGTACTCGCTTTTCTCATTATTTAATCTGACCTGCCCAATATTCATTGAAAATATGATCTTTGAAACTACATTCTTTTAAGTAGTGCTATTGTGACATTCAATTGAATACTCCAAAAACTACTATCAATCCGTTCCACTTACGTTTCACCAATAATTGGTAGTGCTAATTTAGCACATAAAATCAGTCGAAAATTCAAATAAGGAAGAAACAACGAGCAATGAAGAAATAAAGAGAACATCAAGCGTTAATATAGGTCAAATAATCAGAACGCAATATCATGATCCGGCTGTCATCAACCAACTTATTGCGTATTGTTCGGACCAGGTACTCTCTTTCTGCCACTACTTATTCGGCTGATTAATTGATCTGATGGAAATTTCTATCAAATTTCAACTCTTAAAACGTCACACTTTTCGTTGAATCCGGGACTTCTGTTTTGCTCAGGCTTATGGGAAAGTCATTTTATTCAGGAGTAGGGCCTTCATTAAGGAAGATAGACTTATATTCTTTCATGGTCTTCGTTAAAAGATGTAGACGTACACAAAATTCCTACTCCTTGCAGTGAGGCGGAGACAGGGAGAGGAGAGCGTTATATTCAGGGATATCAGTTAGACCAGTGGTTCTCACGTTTGGATGCTCCATTACCCCTTTTGATGATCTGGCAGACCGCCGTTACCTCCCTCCCTCCTGATATAAGAACTTACTATTTCTACGTATAACATCAGGAACAAACGGAAAACCGGTTTGAAAATTTCTCAGCGGCATGAAAGAAATTAGTTTTCTGTAATTAAACAAGTATTTTTAGAACTTTATTTACACATTGCA